GCAATGGATCTAGATCCGAAGTTCGACGATCGAAGATTTGCTGAGTGCCTGTAGCCCTCCATGCATTCAGGACACGAGCAAAAATCTATGTATTCGGAGCTACGCAACCTTATTCGGCGTGTCATGGGAACGCTCCTTTCCCCAAAGGACCTTCGCGCGTAAAACAAATCATCATTCCTTCCACACTCCTGCGCACAAGCGTGCAAGCGCATCGGGCGAACGCGGCGTCAGCAGGCACCAAGGATATCAGAAACATGAGCCGATTGCCGGTCCAGGCCTCGAGGTCCCCCCTGCTGAAGCAAGCGATGCCGGGGAAGCGTCCGGAACAAAGCGCATGGCACGAAGCGCCAATGCAGTCTTGTATCTATATATATATACGTGTATATATATATATAATATATATATATATATATATATATATATATATATATATATAATATAAACAAATAGGCCCCCCCCCCCCGGCGGGGCCGCCCACTCCGCAACCATCGGGGAACGCTTTTTAATACCCCCTCCCCGGGGCCTCCAAGGAGCCTCCAAGGAGCCTCCAGACGACCCAAGAGGCCTCCAAGACGGCCCCAGGAGGCCCCCAGGATGGTCCAAGAGGGCCCCGAGGCGGTCCCAGATCGCTCCAAGACGCCCAAGATGGTCCCAAGACGGCCCAAGGGGCCTCCAAGACGCCCCAAGAGGCCTCCAAGAGGCTCTCCAAGAGGGCCCCAAGAGGCTCGAATCGTTGATTTTCCATTGTGTTTTTCGATGTTTTTGGCTTTCTCTCCTTTTGGGCTCCCTGGCGCTCCAAGACGGCCAAGAGGCACCCAAGATCGCCCCAAGACGGCCCAAGAGGCCACCAAGACGGCCCCAAGACGGCCCAAGAGCGCCCCGGGACCGCTTAAGAGGCCTCGAAGACGGCCCAAGAGAGTCCCAACACGGCTCCAAGAAGGGGCCCAGACGCGGGATCCGAGCGCACTTTACGGGCCCTCGGCCCCAAGAGCATCCCCAGAAACCACTAGAGGCTCCCAAAGGCCCCCAAGAGCCCCCCGGGAGGCCCCCAAGAGCCCCCGAGCAGGCACCGAAACGAGCCCCATGCGATTTCGGACACTTTCATATGCACCCCTTCTTCCTTCCGATCCGTTCCGTTGAGCTGCCTGCATTGAGTAGCATGTGCATTGCATTTCAATTCAACAATAATGCTGTGAATCGCGTCCTGAGAGGCCTCCAAGACGCCCCTACTTCACGATCCATGTCAGGGGTGTGCCGACATGGGCGGGGCGGCAGGATGCGACCCTTGTTTCCGGGGCCGTCGGAACAGCTTCCTTCGGGGCACAAGCTGTGTGCGGAGCGAGTCGAAATACGCGGGGAGACGCTGGGCGAATTCTCCCAACAGAGCCGTGTGAAAGGTGTGCGATAGGCGGAGGGACGCCGTGCTTTTCTGTCCCTGGCACCGTTCGTGGAGTTCTGGGGGGAGGAAGGAGGTGAAGGAGGTGAAGGAACACAAGGAGGGACAGATTGAAGAGAGCGGGGAGGACAGGGAGGAGGAGGAGGAGGTGAATGAACAGGGATCCACTTCAGGGAGACGGCATCGAGGAGAAGAAAGAGGAGGAGGAGGAGCAAGAGGATAGGATGATGGGGAGAGATAGAACGGAAATGAGGAGGAGGGGGAGGGGACTGGAGTAGACCGATGATGATGACGGCGACGACGCTGATGATGAGGATGACGAGCACAACGACGGCGCCGACGAAGATGATGATGATGATGATGATGCTGATGCTGATGCTGACGATGATGATGCTGATGATGATGACGACGACGATGATAGTGAGGACAACGATGACGACGACGATGATGACGATGGTGCTGACGATGCTGACGATGATGGTGGTGATGATGATGGTTGTGCTGGTGATGGTAATGGTGAACACGACCATGACGATGACTACGATGGTGATGATTGCAATGATGACGATGGTGAGGATCCTGGCTAGAACTTGAGCGCGCGCGAAGCGCGCGCGATGGTTCTAGTACATATATATATATATAGATATATGTATATATACATGTATACTAGAACCACGCGCGCGCTTCGCGCGCGCTTAGGTTCTAGCTAGGAGGCGAGCTTGAGTCAACGAAAGTCGCAGGGAAGGGGGCAGGGGGAAGAAGGCCAGAGAGCGCTGAAGGATACAAATACTGGAACCCTCTTGTGATTTTGTGGGGGGCCTCGTCCGGCCGCTCGCTGGGAGTTTGACGTAGCTTCTCGGGAGCCTCTGAACCTGTCGGGGGCCTCCTGGAAGCAGGTTCGAAGCATTTTGGGGGCCGATTTGGGGCTTCTCGGGGCCTCCTTTGGGCCTCTTGGGGGTCTCCTGGGGCCTCTTGAGGGGCCTCCTTGGGGCCTCCTGGCGGCCTCTTGGGGCGGAAGGCTCGAGCTTGCGGTTCGTGGTCCCCCTCTGGGCCCCCTCTTGGGCCCGTCTTGGGGCCCTCTTGGGCCATCTTGGGCGCCTCTTGGGCCGTCTTGGGGCCCTCTTGGGCTGTCCTGGGGCCCTCTTGGAAGCTTCTTGGGCCGTCTTGGGGCGGTCTTGGGCGCCTCTTGGGCCGTCTTGGACGCGGTGAAAGCCCAAGAGGCGAACATGCGAAAAATATACGTTTTCCCATAGGAATGGCACGATTTTTGCTTCTTGGGCCTCTCTTGGGCTGCCTCTCGGAGCGTCTTGGAGGCTTCTGGGACCTTCTTGGTGTCATGACAGGCGTCTTGGAAGGCATCTGGAGCCATCGGAGCGCGTTCCGAAGCCGCCTGCGAACGATCTTGGACGGCGTCCGGCGGTCCGACGAGCCTCCGGGCCCCCCGGGGCCCACATTTGTGGTCGGGGTCCCGGCCCCGGGCCCCCGGACCCGGTGCGCCGTTATATGTATACTCCTCCGTCCCCCTTCCCTTCTTTACCGTTCTTGTCTGGGTGACCTCCTGATTCCGATTTTTTACCCAACCTGAATCATCTATGAGTGTTCAGTCAGCTCTATCCTAGCAAACCTGGGCCGTTATATTTATCAATTCCAAAACGAATTGTGTAATGTAATAAATGGGAAGCTTAGAAGTAACGAGCGGGGGGGGAAGCGAGTCGACGCACCACTGGCGCGGCTGGAAGGACCTGCACGGCCGCCTCTACCGTGCGCCGCCTGGACATGACATCGAGTGGGGACAGCTGTGGAACCGCAGGGCGAATCGCCTCGAGTCCTGGCCCGAGGTCATCAATCGGCTGAAGGGCACATGCAGGGCGATATTTGTTTAGGATTGGAACCGTGCCCGCGGCGACGGCGATGGCAAGGGCACGGGCAAAGGGCGCCACAATCCGGACGGCAACGAGGACTTCTGCAGCCGTTTCCTGGCTGACCTGGCCGACTGCTACTTCGACATCTGGGCTTGCTGCCACCACCGCGGGATGCGGGTTGACTGGGGCGAGGTATGGATGGCGCCAACGGCACGAACGACGGGCTAGCGGCGGAGGGAAAGGCAAAGGCAGCAAGCGCTCCAGTGACGCCTCCTGGCCCTCAGGGGACTCCTCCCGCCAGCGGGAAGTTTAGCCTCAGCTGGCCTCAACGCCGGCGCGACCGCCGCCGGCACCAGAGCGCTGTGCTGCTGGAGGCTCAGAGCGGCCCGGCATGCCCCGCCCCTGGTCAGGGACTGGCGACCCTGGACTGGCGCTGGCCCTGGCAGGGGTACCTGCCCCCCGAGGTGGGCACTCTCTGGGACGCAAGTACACTGGGGGCTCGACCACAAGAAACCACCCACAAGAAACCCAACCCTGAGACCCCAGGGCGTCCATTGACTTTTGGGGTGGGAGCGTCACGCTTTCCATAGAGAAACCATCGAAGCCCAAGAAACCCAGGGCACCCTGGGGGTGAGCAGGGTGTTTCTTGGCGTGGGTCTCCACTGTTCTCGCACTCTTCTGAAGCGCGGGCTGGGCGTCTGCCCCCCAGTGGACGCCCCGACCGCTCAACTCTAGTTTATCGCTTACATATCGCAGCACCGAGGCGGGGCAGAGAACAAAACTAAGAACTCTAAAAACAAGAACCGGAGCCACGACGCGACATGTCACAAAACAAGGTTTCGTCTAGCAAATCAACGCGCCAAGAATAATTGGGGTCGTGCTAGGCGCTTGTGATGGGGGTGGTTACGCTGCTGGTCGTGGAGGGTTGTGCGGTGGGGTTGTGCGAGGGGGGGGCGGGGGCTGGGGGGTTGTGCTGGAGGTTGTGCTGGGGGGTTGTCCTGGGGGGTCGTATTAGGGGGTTGTGCTGAGAGGCTTCTGCCGGGGGGTTGTGATGGGGGTTGTGCTGGGCGCCTGGATCTGTGGACAAGCTCTCTTGATGGAAACGTGTGCCTCAGGATGTCGAGCCCACAGGTCGAAGGATGCATTCGATTGCGACCGAGGTATGGTCATGGCTGGGTCGCTCCATCAGAGAGCCAGCAGGGTTTTGAGACATCTGCCAATCCAACGTCTCCGTGGTGCTTTGCCGCGCTGCCGCCTGATGGCCTTCAACTCCGACGGGGAGGCCTCGGAGGAAAAACGGAGGTGGGAGGGATTTGATTGCGCATCTGATTGGGCTCAAGGACCGACGGCACTGCAACTCGACGGGACTGCAAGTTTATTGGCACACTGCAGGGCCGGCACGGGGCGCCAAGGAAGCGCATGCAGGCATTGCTGCACTCGACGGTAAAAAAAACAGTCTGGCGCTAGCGCCGATCGGCCAAGAGTGCGCGACTCCATAAAAACATGAAGCGAGGGAGAAGCGGCATCTCAGGAGGAGGAAGGATGGCCTTACGCTCATTCTCATCATCCTTCCTCCTGGCTGGCTCTACTACTAGCACGACCCTCCATCTCCTCCTCCTCCTCCTCCTCCTCCTTCTCCTCCCCTTCTTCTCGAGGACGGGGGAGCGAGATGAGAAAGAGAGCGCGAGGAGGGGACAAGGGGGCGCCCGGGCACCCCTGCCCCACTCCCCGCGGCGGAAGACGTCGATGGTGGAACGCGACACTGCGGAGGCGCGCTGGGTCACCTGGGCAGGGATATCGGACGGCGGGCTCTCAGACTGGCAGCTGTGCACAACCGCCGGCCCTGGCCGGGTCAATCCGAAGCCTCGGACGCAGATCTCCAACGTATTCAAAAATGTCCCGAGGAAGTGGTCCAGAGCTCCAGGGACCCCGGATTAAAAACAATCAAGACATCGGAGGTTTGGGGGCCAGCGGAGCTGGCGCTTGCCCGACGGGAGGCCCTGAGGAGCCACAGGTCACACGATCGGGTCGGACGAGATGGGGGATAGCAAAGGGGGTGGCAGCGAATCAGCTCAGGAACCAGGTTTCCCTGGCGCCTCCTGGCGCCGGACCTGGCACGAACGCTCGGCGAGGGCCTCGAGGTGAGCACTGCCCAGGGAACTCGGCGGACGCTCCACGACACCGCTCTCAGCGGCGCCGAAGCCGCGCGAGGGCCTGCCCGCCCGGGCTCTCCACCCGCACGTCCTGCGCGCAGCACGGAGCGCACGGCCAGCGCGCGCGTCTCCCTCGGTGACCAAAAGGAGCAGGCGACGAGCGGGAGTGGGCGAGCAGAGGCAGCAGCGCCATGCGCGGCTGTGGCTGGACTCACGTGCGGGACACCTGGAGGCCACACGCCGGGTGCCCCTGCGAATGGCCGGTGCAGCGTGCCTGCCCTCACAAGGGCCTAGCGCTGGAAGCGATGGGCCTATGGTCCACCACCGCCACGGACCACTACCACAGGTAGGACGGGGGAGCAGGGAGGATTGGGAGGTCCTCCTCCTCCTCATCCTCCTCCTCCTCCTCCCCCTCCTCCTCTGGTTCCTCCTTCTTTGGTTCCTCTGGTTCCTAAAGAAGGGGCCGACTCCTCTGCCTCCTCCTCCTCCTCCTACCTAGGGTAGTGGTGTTGGGAGATCGGCCCTATCAGGAGAGACGTGTGGCCCCGTGTGAACGCATCCAGGTCTCACCAGGGCCAGCTGCGTCGTGTGCATGCGGTGTAGCAGATGCGTGCGCGTGTGCAGCTCGCCTTCAGCCCCGACTCGAGCCGCTCTGGCTCCAGCGGGCCGCGCAGCGGCCGCTGCCGCGGGGCCAGAGGTCGGCCCAGACCTCCTCCCAGACCTCCAGCCTGCTGGCCTGGCCGGAGCTTAGGAACCTCATGTGGCTCACGGGGGGAAACATCGACCTGGAACCAGAGATGCATCGCACATCGATCGGCGACAGGCTCTCGATCATCAGCGGGTCTACACGCACCTGGGCGGGGTGGGCTACACCAGGCCCCTATCGTCGAGCAACGTGGGCGGTTGAGGGTCGATGCGGACCCCCTCGAGGACGCAAAAAGACACGTTAGTACGATGTGTCTTCCGTGAAGGCGTTCGTCCGACCCGAACGTAGGTTTTTTTGCAATCCTTTGCAATCCTTCGTTTTTTGCAATCCTGGGTTTTTTTGCAATCCTTCGTACAACCATCTTGTAGTGTATCGTTTCTCGAGCGGTCTGCCAGAACACGCCCACCACGGGTTTCTACTTGAAGACTTCTCGGCCCGCGCGTCGCCCCTGAGGGGGCGACGCACACATAGTATCAGTATGTTGGGGTGACGCCGACCGTAACGTTCCCCCTCGGCCTTCGACGAGATCACAACTTCGCTTTCTGGCGAAGGGCCCGGGACGATCCGGGCATCCCCGGAACGCTCTCGGCGAGGCGCAGTCGCTGGAAGGCGCACCCCGAGGCTCGATAGCCGCCGGGAACCCACGGACACGCCAGAAAACCCCGAACCTCGAGGCCGAGCCTCGGAGGAGAGGCAGGAGAGACAGGATATGAACGAGGAGGAGAAGAACAAGGAGCAAACTTCTCCTCCTCCTTCTTTTTTAATCATGGTATTATTGTTTGCACTACTCTTCTATATGTTATTGATTCGCCGTTTTGCCATTCTTCATATGAGTATCGTTGAATATGGTTCGACTCCTGGTTCTACTTCTGATTATTATTAGCTTCCCTGTCATTATTAATCTTCTTCTCCTTCTCCTCCTTCTCCTTCTTCTTCTTCTTCTTCTTCTTCATTTCTCGATCTCGAGAAGGCCTCGAAGGCGGCCCCTGGCCTCCCCGCCTCTGGCCTCCCCAACCCCTGGGGTGCACTCTGGCGCGACCCTGCGCCGCCGGCAGGCGCCCCGCCCCCCGAGCTGCACGGAGGCCCACAAGTCGGGACTGGCCCCGCCGGCCGCCGCAGCCGCCTCGTTCCTCGTCGTCGTCGTCGTCGTCGTCGTCGTCGTCGTCGTCGACGTCGACGTCGTCGTCGTCGTCGACGTCGTCCACGTCGTCGTCGTCGTCGTCGTCGTCGTCGTCGTCGTCGTCGTCGTCGTCGTAGTCGACGTCGACGTCGACGTCGTCGTCGTCGTCGTCGTCGTCGTCGTCATCGGAAGGAGGAGGAAGAGGAGGAGGAGGAGGAGGAGGACGACGACGAGGGAGACGCCGCCAGCGCGACCGGCGAGCTCGGCAAATCCAGCCGTGGCGACGAGGGCCGCCCAAGAGCCCCGAGCGCGGCCTACCTCTGGAGGCCGGCGCGCAGGCAGCGGCGCGGGTCGGCGGCGAGCGAGGGGAGGAAGTGAGAAGGAGAAGGCCTTCTCAGAAGGCGGCGGGGCTTCTTAGAAGCCCTTCGGCCTTCTGAGAAATTTTCTGTGTCTTCGGGGCCCGGGGAAGGCTTAGAAAACCTCTCAGAAGGCCAGAGGACTTCCGAGCCTACTGAGAAGGCCCGCTCCTTCTCACTTCCCCCCAGGCTCGCCGCTGAGTGGGAGGGTCATGGCGCCGTGGTGGTCATGGGAAGTCGTGGCTTCCAACGGCTCCCCGAGCCAGAAAGGTTCGCCGAAGCCTCCCGAGGCCTCCAGAGGTCATGGGGGGTCATGGCCTCTGGAGGCCTCTGGAGATTCCACGAGACTCCAGAATCGAGAATCTACAGCTCTGGGTCAATCCAAACCCAGGTCAGTCAGGCTTTGCAAAATCCATGCGCCCAAACACGGGTCAATGCGACCCTGGCCCTGCATGATCCTGCAAGATCCGGCGCTCTGACTGACCCCAGTTTGCATTGACCCCCGTCTCAAGGCCCCCGACAGAGAGGTTCGCTGAGGCCTCCAGGGGCCTCCAGAGGTCCTCGGAGGGCTTCACAGGCGCCACAGACCAAGAACCACGACCCTCCTCCCCCCGCGCGCGCTTCGACACGCGCCCAGAGCGCAAAGAATGATGATGATGATGATGATGATGATGATGATGATGATGATGATGATGATGATGATGATGATGATGATGATGATGATGATGATGATGATGATGATGATGATGATGATGATGATGATGATGATGATGATGATGATGATGATGATGATGATGATGATGATGATGACGGGAGGAGGAGGAGGAGGAGGAGGAGGAGGAGGAGGAGGAGGAGGAGGAGGAGGAGGAGGAGGACCAGTAGCGAGGAAGGAGGAGGAGGAGGAGGTGGGGAGAGAAGAGAGAGGGAGGGAGGGAGGGGAGGGAAGGAGCAGGCCTCCTCCTCATCCTCCTCCTCCAGCTCCGATGACGGCGGTGACGAGGTCGACAAACACGAAAGCGACGACGGCCACCACCACGATGACGACGAACACGACCAGGAGGACGACAACGTCAGATCGATGTGACGACGAAAAGTCACGGAAAGCGATGGAAAAGATGGAAGGCCCTAAAGTCCCGAAAAGATCACCAAAATCAACGAACCTCGATCCTCGATTCACGAACGCTCCCCCACCTCCACATTCCCAGAGATCTCTTGAACTTTCATCTGGAGCCCCCAGAAGGCTCGAACCCTTCCCCGGGACCGGGTTTTTCACCCTTCTGCGCAGTCCCGGGGCCCAGCGAGGGCCCCCGGAGGCAGCAAAACGGCGAGACAGCTTCGTCTTGGGGTCTGGGTCCGGGTCGCCGTGACGCCCGAGTAGTTGAAGAAAGCGATGGAGAAGATGGAGCCGACCACGGCCATCGCCAGCGGCCACGAGTGCTGCATCTGGTACACGGCGGCGGGCGTGCTCTCCACCTGCCGGGCTCGGGGACCCCCTGGCGCAGAAGCACCGGTCGAGATTCAGCAGACACGTGCGATGATGGGAATGCTGGGGCACATGACTGGTCGATCCTTGAGGGTCCTAAGGTGCCTCACAAGCTTCCTGTGAATTTGTGGCGCCGTCGGGGGACAAGACATTTCCGTGGGGGCCCTGCTCGCAAGCCGATGTCTTAGTTGGTGTGCCGACTGTACATTCGAAACGCTGTCATAAAGAACCCTATACATGGAACGAGGCTCTTGATTTCCGTGTGTTAGACTTCTATCTCTCATAGACAACCTAAGGGAAACCTGGGACTCTCCAAGCCCCTCCGCAACGAAAAGGGTTCCTTCTTCAGCGGCCCGACTATAGAGGTCATCGTCGTCGTCGTTTCAGAGGTGGCTGGGCACGTCTGGAAGTCCTCGTCGTCACGGCTGGGCGCGTCTCGAAGAAGTGGCCATGCTGGACCCCAGCATGGGTCCGGGATGGCCCTCCTTGAAGCCGACAGGAGAAATAAGAGTCAACATCGGCGACGAGCGAGGGGGGGAAGTGAGAAGGAGAAGGCCTTCTCAGAAGGCGGCAGGGCTTCTCAGAAGCCCTCGCGCCTTCTGGGAGGTGTTTTGTGTCTTCGGGGGAGGCTCAGAAAACTTCTCAGAAGGCTGGTGGACTTCCGCACCTTCTGAGAAGGCATTCTCCTTTTCACTTCCCCTCCTCGCTCGCCGCCGACAGAAGCTGGGGGGTGCCCTCCCCATCCTTCGTGCCTTCTTATTACTTCTGACGGCCACCCTAGTTTGAGCATCACCTCTCAGGGGCGACCGCCGCCCCTGGGGGGGGCATGGCAGCGCCTTGACTGTGGTACTCATGCCGCCAGCTCACAGCGCCCAGGAGGAGGAGGACGACGACGACGACAACGAGGACTGGTCGAAAGCGAAGTGAGGATTAGAGCGAGCAGTGGTCGAAAGCAGGAAATGATGGAGGAAAGGGTCCCTCACCTTCACCTCCCCTCAAGTCGAAAGAGCAGGGTCAAGTGCGACTGTCCACCAGCGTAGGCAGACCGAGGAAGGCGAGGGGGAGGAGGAAGGAGGAGGAAGGGGGGAATGGATGAGGGACGAGCAGCGAGCAGAAAGGGAAAGGGAGGGAAAAGGGAGGCGGAGGAGAGAGAAAGAGGAGAAAAGGCTTCCCGCTCCCGTCGCGCTTCGTCCTAGCATCATCCTTTTTCTTTCGCCCTCGGCATGCTCACTGGGCGCTTGTACCCGTGCTGTGTGGCCAGAACTGGGGGGAACGAAAAGGTACCAATACCGCTACTCCACGGACCTCTCCGGGGGTGCGTTCTGACCGGGATTTCGAAGCGACTCCAGCCGCGGCGGCGAGGGCCTCTCAGCGGGCCCACAAAGGCGAGCACAAGGGAAAGGTAGCGGCATCGATGCCTTCCCCTCCTCTGACGAGGCGGATCAGCCCACCCTCAGACGCTCACCAGGGCTGCCTCCTCCCCCCACTTGGCCGGGTGCCAGTCGGGGATGCGCGTGCACTCCTCCTGCTGCCGGGCCACCCACTGGGTGGCGGCCGCCCTCTCGGCCTCCTCCGCGGCACTCTCCGTGGGCGTCGGCAGCGGGCACTCGTTGGGAAAGGCGCGGTGCAGGAAGTGCCTGAAGTCCGCGCTGTCGGAAGAAGCAACAGCGGCAGCAGCATGGGCTGCCGCAGGCACGCGCGGCTTCGTTGGGCCTGAGCTGGACCTCCCGCCCGTGGCGCGCGGAGCGCGCCAGGGGCGGCGCACGGGCGCGCCGCCGGGGAGGCCCTGCGCAGCTCTGGGAAGGCTTCGGTCGGGCATGTCCTCCCACAGGCGGATCTTGGAGGAAAAATGAAAAAGAATCGAAGAATCAGCAAAAATAGTCGAAACTAAAGGAAAAACGTCCCCTGACTGTTTTTTGACTATTTTTGAATATTCTTCCTGTAGAGGGACATGCCCGGCTTGAAGGAAGTCCGCGCGAACCTGCGGGAGCCGATGCTCGTGCCGGTGTTCCATCTTCGAGCTGTGCAGCGGCACCACTCCGCCGTGCTGTGCGGCAGCGGCCTCCAGGTCGCGCGCCAGGTCCGGGGGCAGCTCGCGGGGTGCGGCCACGGAGGAGGACGGCGTCTCGCTCACGAGGCCGAGCAGCTGCGGGGCGGGCCACGCTGGCGCCTGCACCTTCTGCTCCAGCTCGCTCGTGAGGGCTTCGCACTCGCTCAGGCAGCAGACGGTGATGGGCCGACTGTCCACCACCACTACCATAAGTAGGAGAGGGAGGAGAGGGAGGAGGAGGAGGAGGCGGAGGAGGCGGAGGAGGGGGAGGAGGAGGAGGAGGAGGAGGAGGAGAGGAGGAGGAGGAGGAGGAGGAGGAGGAGGAGGAGGAGGGAGGAGGAGGAGGAGGAGTAGGACCTCCCCATCCCCCCTTCTCCCCCGTCCTATGGTAGCGTTGGTGGAAAATTGGCCCATCAGACGGAGTAGTACTCGGAGGAGGCAATGCAGTTCGAGCGGCCCAGCAGGTAGTTGGCGACGAGCACCTGCTGCGTGCCGTCCTCGGCCTCGTCGAGGGCGCCTGCCCGCTGGAGGTACTCGGCCGTCTCAGTGAACTGATAGCTCGCGTGCTTCTTCTCGGAATGGAACACGTCCAACGGCACGCGCCCGTTCGAGGACCCGAGGGCCATGAGATTGTCCTTCATCTGGACGCACTCCGAGTTCTGCCACTTCCCGAAGCGGAGCGTCATCCCCGAGGCGATCGCCGCGGCCTCCTCGAAGGAGTGACGCGGATGACGATGAGGATGATGACGACGATGATCGGTCGCGTGGCCCTCGAGCACCTCGGCCTCCACCACGGCGTCCGCCTCGAACTTGAGGAGCGCCTCCCAGTCCTCCGCCTGCGCCGCACGGGCCTTGATCCGCTGGTGGAGGGACACGTCCGTCACATTGCGCGGCAGCCCGTGGCGGAAGAGCAACAGGTACGATTGAAGTACATCATGGAGGCCGTCTTCATCCAGCCGCTTCTCTGGGTCACGCTCATTCAGCGCGTACGCGCTGCGCAGCAAGGCCGTGGACTCCCCGAGCAGCAGGTGCTCGAGGGCGGCAATCGTACCGACGACGTCGCTGAGAGAGAGCCCGCGATCGGCGGAAAGCAGACGCTGGAGCGCCTCGGCAAGCTTGGGGGCCTTCTCGCGCAGAACGTCTGACTGGGGCACCGTCGTCACTGCAGGCACCATGCTCGGGGGCTCCAGGCCTTTGAGGAGCCACCCATGTTCTTTCAGAAAGTAAGCCCGGACGATGGCAGCGAAGATCTCCTGCGATGGGATCTGGCCCATGGCATTTTTGGGGAATGCCTCCAGAAGACAAGCACATCGGCATAATCACACTTTGAAGGTTCGCGCGGTTCTCTTGGGTCAGCGCTGACCCCCTCCCACCATCCTTCCCCAGCGCGCAAGAGTGCGCTGAGGGTGGCGCCAAAGGCGCCACCAGCGGTGGCGTGAAGTACGTCCACAGCAGACCCCAGCAATCCGCGCGGACCTCCGAACGTTTTTATGCTTAAGCAGTTGGGATGCCCTCCTGCCTCGTAGGTCGGCCGCACGCTGGCCTCGATCGCGAAGAGCCGATGGGACGCCACCTCACCCAGCAGCTCCTGCAAGGCCGCCTGGAGCGCCGAGGGGCCTTTGCGACTGCCAGACTCCCGTCGCATCAACTGCGCGGAGCAGGGAGCCGCCGCGGCGGCCATCGCAAGGAAGAAGATAGTGCGGGCGAGCATGATCCTGGACCCAGGGTGGACGAAAGGGGTGAGGGGCAACGATAGGGGGGGGAGGTATGGCTCAGGGGGGGGCATCGACCTGGAATCGGCGATACATCGCCGATAACATCGGCCATTGGCCCCAGATCGCGAGTCCGCACTCTCCTGGGCTGGATGAGCTCTCGGGCCCCTGTCGGCGATCCATGGAGGATAGGGGCTCGATGCATCCCCTTGAGCCTATCCCCTCCTAGCTACCAGCGTTGTCCCTGAAGGGGGGGGGTCGAAAAGAGTAGTCAACTCCGGGAATCAGCTGCGGGCAGCTCGCCTCCCCGCCTGCCGCGACCCTGGAACGCGCGTGGCGGCGGGGCCGAAGCGGGCTGCGCACAACAGCTTCCGGCATCGCCCCCCTTGCCCCCCTGTCCCCCGCCCTGGTGAGCGCCGAAGATCAGACGAGGAACGACGAGTGAACCGTGGAGGGAAAGACGCTCCCCGGAGAGGCCTGGCGGCTGTGTATAAGTTTTGCTCTTGAGCCGAGGAGGATGCGCGCGGATGAGGAGGCGGGCCACCACGGGGCGCGAGACCCCGGCCGCGATCGCTCGGCCCACCGACGCGCCGCCTTCCCCCTCTGGGCATACGGCAGGTTCGTGTCGTGGCGACGCCGGCACTGGCTTCTGCCACCGCGTGGATCGTTCCACTTCGAACGGTCGGCGCCCTTCCGATCGCGAGATCGCCTCATGCCGGCCGTCTCCGTGCCACTGGCGGAGCACAGCCTCAAACGCCCGCGACGACGTCGCCGCCGCGTCGACGCGTCACGATCCTACCGTACAGTCGGGGCGCTGACCTGAGGAACCTCAAAAATAATGAGCGAGGCCCCTTTTTCCCTAGGTTGAGCTTCGATGCCCCATCGGAAACTCAAGGAATACCGAGGGCAGTCTGTTAAACAATTCAGGAGCACGGAACACGCAGCGCCTCCCCAAACGCAAAGGGTTCCTTCTTCGGCGCCCCGACCGCATGCGTATGCCAGAGGGCCATGCCTACCGCAGAGGTGCCCCTGCCGCAGTGGCCGACGGGCACGCTCCACGAGGAGGCGGAGGGGGAGGGGGGGGGTCTTCGATCCTCTACTGGGAGAGGGGAGGGGGGAGGGGAGGGGGGAGGATAGGGGAGGGGAGGGGAGGGGGAGGGGAGGGGGAGGGGAGGGGGGAGGATTCTTCATCACACCAAGGAGCACATGATCTTCTCGTGAGCAGGCCCAGCCCTCCCTCTTCAGAAGAACCGAAAAGGAGGAGAGGGAGAGGGAGGGAGGGAGGCGGGGGCCCAGGGCCCGGGCTGAGCAGGGGAGAGCGCTTTGAGCATCTTTCATCCGACCCTCATCCCCAGCGGCGTGGCCTGGGCCCCACTGGCCGATGTACCCCCCTGGAGGCGGACACAGGCCGTCCCCTTCGGGCTTCGAGGGGCATGTTTCCCCAACTGGGTTGGCAATTTGGTGGGGGCCTCGCAGGGGATGAGGATGGGGATGGGGGTCGGTTCAACGAGACGGACGCTTGTCTGCCCCCATCCCACCTAAACCCTGCCCCTGCACTCACTTCACTCGGGCACTGCTTGAGGCCTGCGTGGCCCCAGCTCCTTCCTCGTCCGCGTGAGCCCGCAGCCGGTGCAACGCAAATCGTGAAGGAAGACATCGCACTCGTGGGGAATCCCACGCTCTCCGTGCCACATGCCAATGAGACAGCTCCGCGCTCCTCTCCCCATCCTTGTCTCCTCTCCTGCTCATTCTGCTGATGCGGCTGCCCCTCCTCCTCCTCCTCCTCCTCCTCTTCCTCCTCCTCCTCCTCCTCCTCCTCCTCCTATTGACCTATTGACCTGCACTAGAAGGTGGGCTCCCTGCGCGCCAGGGCCCTTCTGAAAATGACTCACGAGATTATCTTCTCTCGTGGAAGGCCACAGCGGGTCGCAACCTGCGTTCTTAAATGGGCAAGTTGTCCCACGGGCCATTCGAGAAGCCCTTTAGGCTTCTGTCCCTGCAACAACCGACGAGACGCTTTGATCCCCGTACTTGTTGGCTTTTCGCAAGGACCTGAAAGTTTGGTGGCTCGAGAGGCTGCCCACCCCCCACACTTGGAACATAACACCACCCCTTTTACCATACATATGTTGGGGTGGTGGGAGGGGTGGACTTCAAATATATATTTCCTGGGTAAGCACACCTGCGAAACCCATCCTGGAGAAGGCGTGACAGAAAAAGCAGCACAGCGGGTACAACTTGTGGTACCCCCCCCTTTGATGATACAGTGCGGGCTCATCTCGGCTTCTCGAAGCCGTCGGGTTTTGGCACTTTTCGGGACCTTCTGCTGCTTTAGATTGGGGCCGTATTTCCAGTTAAGATCTTGGATGCATGCAAGACGGGATCTGATCAGCTGCATCTCCTTATCCCTGGCCTGGACCTCCAAAACCTCCTCCTCCGTGAATCCGAAAAACTCGGCCGCTCTGCGCGCAACGGCGTCGGCGGCGGCGTTGGCAATGTAAAAGTCGGGGCGCACGGTGCCATCGCTGATGTCGCTCAACGTGGCGTGCGCCTTGGTCTTCTTAAAGGCGACGTGATGGGTCCTGTCATTATAGGCCTGCCAAAAGAGAAGCCACAAGTCGGTGTTACTTTTATGTTTCCACTGCTCACCCCTGCGGACGCCTTTCATGAGATAGTCACTGTCGGTAACGATGACGATGGGCCCTTCAAGGGCCAAGGCATATATGGCAGCAGTAAGTTCACCTCGGTTGATAGTTTGGGCTCCTGCGGCAAGACCATATAGGGTTCCCTGGGCCCAGCTATCACGTCCCATGAGAACAAATCCCCATCCTACTCGTCGAAGGCGGGGGTCAGCAGAGAACTTTCCACCTGACCCGTCCGTGCCCACAAGCCTGGTCTCGGTGAAACTGAAGCGGCCCGTGCGAAGGCAGCCCGTCCTGTACACCTGGCTGTTCCTAGGTCTGGAGGCTAGAAAACCGACCGTCTGCTCCTGCGGCTGGAGTCCTCGGAACCATTTGATCGGGAATATGTTTCGTTCAGCCCGAGCTTTGGGGAGGAGGTGTTGCGAGTCACGGATCTCATCATGCTCATGTCCCAGGGAAATGAGGGCAGGGCAATTCCAATAGGCGTGAAAGGCATCTTCACACGGGGCCCCACATCTCCAGCAGCCTGGAGGGCCTGCCATGCCTGCTTTAAACCTTCTGGCTCCATGCCAGATGCAACCCTTGGCAACAGAATAAGCAGCAGTAAGCAGGTGTTTCGAACTCCTCCTCCATCCTCCTACGTGCTGTCGAAACTGGTGTACATCCACTCCTGCATCTCCTCCTCCCCCACAGTAGTATTCGGCCGCCTGCCCCCAGTACTTCTGGGTGATGCACGCGGTGAAGATATCTATGACAGCGGACTGGTCGCCCGTGACGGGACCGGTTTCGCCGTTACCTGGCTTGATGTGGTACTGTTGGCCGTGCGGGCTGGTCCACCTCCATGGATGCGAAACCTCCCAGCGGAAGTCTAAGAGGTAGGCAAGCACGGACGACATGAGGCTATACACCTTGTTCCACCTACCTGGCCCCTGGAGTCGAGCAAGGGTCTTGGGCCACGTTCGTTCAACCCCAACGTGTAAGTGTTCCTCCTGATTCAAGATGGAAAACCAAAGCTGCAAGCACCCCAAGGGAATATAGTAGCCTGGATCCGTGACCAGATGCCCCTTAGGTGATAAAGCGCACGCAGTCGTAGTACACCCCGACTTACAAACAATCCCCATGGTAGTAGCGAGTTTGCCTCTGAGGGTCCTGAGAGCCGTGGGAGCCACCCCTTGTCCCTGGAATCCCCAGACAAGTTGAGGTTGGGCCCCAGTACTGACCAGACTACGGGCCTTCTTAATCTTCTTAGTGAGCCTTCGAATCTTCCCAAGACGGGTATATCCTGCTGCTTGTCTAGCTTTACGAACTTTAAGTCTACGTTGTCGTCCTAGTGTGGCATCAACTCCAAGATCCCTGCCTTGGCGCTGCACTGAAATGGCTACCCCTGCATTCTCAAGACGCTGGGCGACGCCGGTGGCCAAAGTCGAACTGGAGGCCATCAAACAACTCTTGGGCGAAAGCCTGCACCCTTGCCGTGCGAGGTCCTGCCCCAACGAGACAATGGCAGCAGGGAACAGTCGCAATATATGCTCTGATGATGCCCACATGCGCACTCGGAGGTCGTCCACCCACGTGCGGAAACTGAGCGGCATATAATCCCGATGGAACTTATCTAACACGTGGTACAGAAATGCGCGTGCCATAGAGCAACTTTGCCCGCAGCCCTGCAGCGTGGACTTGTCAGGCACTGCAAAATCTGAACATCCGATCGCCGACGTGAGGACCCTAGTACACCGATGGACCATGAGCGCCAAGGCCAGCGGGGGGGTCGGATAATTGAGGCGAAGTGCCGAGTGGACCATCCACTCAAGTTCCACTGAGTCAAAGAACTTTTCTAAGTCGAGGAGAGCTTCTACCATAGATATACCTCCTGCTGATGCTATCTCTGCTGCTACTTCTGATAAAACTGCGGCCCTGAGTGCATCGTTCCCCTTGAGCGCCTGGTCCCAGAAGCCCGCGGAGTCCTGGTCCCACGAGGAAAGTTCCGTCCTGAAAAGCTTGCAAAGCACCCGATACAATCCAATCGTAAGGGTCAGGGGTCGGTCACATTCTGCATTTTTAGGCTGGAGGAAGATGAGGTTGAGTAGGACCTGGAGGGGAAGTTGCTGTCGCCGACAGATCTGGTTGATTAAAAGTGTGAAATCCTGGCGGCCCTCGTCCTGCAGGCAGAGGAAATCGCGGACTGACCATCCGTCGCCTCCTGGAGCTGCGGAGGGCTTGTAGAGGGCCACGACATTAAAGATATCGCTGGTCTCCCAGTCGTGGTAGTCTAACTGCCAATCCTCAATGGCTTGCAGACGGACCTTCCGGACCCAAAGTGGCTCGAACGGGGCAGGGTGTTTTTTGTCTTTCGGGTCCCACTTCTTCATCCAGTATTCAAGTTTCTTATTCATGACTTGGTAGGGGTCGGAAATGATCTCCCCGTCTGGGCCTTCAAGGTCCTCAAGTGGTTCTGGGTGGGCTCCAGGGGCACGGGTGATTGCATGAGCGGCCCCTCCTCCCTTCTTTAGCGATTCCAGGACAAAGTTTTTGAACCCCTCCTTAGACTCTGTCAACTCAGAAAGGTGGAACTTGTGCTGGACCCGATCAATGATCTCCAACCCCTTAGCCTGTGTGTCCTTGTCGGAATAACCCCCAAGATAAGCCTCAAGAGCCAAAGAATCCTCTGGAGAAAGTTCAGGATGGGGGATCTTGTCAAAGAAGTGCCTCAAGAACTCCTGCAGCCTCTGAAAGTGTTCGTAGTCAGCTCTAGCTTGGTCCCGTTCCTTCGCACGGATGCCGAGCGTGGCCCACTGGCTGGCGGCCGACTTCGCGCGGCCCTCCTTGGGCGCTGGCGGCAGGTGCGGCTTCCAGGCGAAGCGCGGCACAAGCCCTGCCTGGCACTCGATGTCGGAAACTGCGATGTCTCGCTGCTGGATCTCTGCTGCCCTGCAGAGAACGGCAAAGGACTGCGTGAGCATCGCATCGTGGTGCCCAAAACACGTTGGATACTGCGCATACTGGGGCCCCTGGACCTGGAGGAAAGCCTTCCCGAAGTAGTCCGCCCACGGCCGTGCTGGTCCCAGGGCCCGTGGGAGAGGGGCTGGCCGCTCAAGGGCCCATATCTGCTTGGTGAAAACCTCAGCCTCCATCGTCATGGTCAACCCGTAATGTGGGCTCCAAGGGCCCTTCAGGTGCCCCTTGACGGTGATGCTCGTAGCCAAACGATCATCAACAATAAAGTAATCTATCATGGTTTTGGTCACCGCATTGGTATAGGGAATGTCGGGCGCGATGATCGCGCCATTCATGTACTCAAGGATGTTGGCCCCCTCTATGACAGATGGGTCCATGTTGAAATCACCTCCTAGTATGTAAGGCATGCGCATGACCCGAATGAAGGCGATAATCTCCCACAGAATATCCCTATTGGCCTGCTTGTACCCTATGGAGTCCCAGAGGTAGACCCCGATGAGTAGAATATCTACTTTGGATAACCTCAAGACACAGCTAGCCCATTGAGTCCCCTCGACAATCGGCTTCTTGTGCCCCTTGGCCCCCATGAATCTGGAGTGTGTATGGTATCTAGTTTGTGCTGCAAGAAGTACACCCCCATGTGTACCCCCTTTAGCTGTCGGGGAGGCTGGACAAACGTAGGTAGACCAGGATGCTTTCCGAAACTTCTTTCTGAGTGGCCTCAAGTCCCCTGCAGACTTATGAACCTCAGTCAAAAGCAGAAAGTCGTATGGTAGCTTCTGGTCGAAGCAAAACTTGTCAGCCTTCTCACTCCATGTTGTGATATTGGCAAGATAGAGGGTAATGCTACCCCCCCGTTGTCCCTGGGCCTGCCTGCGGGGCGACACTTGCATGGGCACCCTCGGCCTGGTGGGCGGCTGCACGCGCGTTCGCGTGGACCTCCGCCGCCATAGCCGCCGCCATGGGCTGCCAGGCCGCATGCCCGCTGGCGCCTGAGGCGGCGAGCGAGAAGGCCCCGCCCCCGGCTGGCTGCCCTGGCGCCGTGACGGGACCGGTTTCGCCGTTACCTGCCCTGGCGCCGCGGCGAGCCTTCTTCCTGGCGCGCTCCTCGACCTTGGCGAACAGGCGCTGGAGCTTCGGCTTGGCCTGAGCGGCCTGGCGCATGACCTCGTAGTCGCCCTCGTCCAGGTCGTCGAGGTCGCTGAGGTTGGAGCCCTCGCTGGCCATCGACTTGTCATCATCTGCTGCAGCACCTGGGCCTCCTTCACCCACGTAGGCTGCATAGGCGCGGCCCGCGGCCGCTGCTGCTGCCTTGGCCTCTTCGTGGGCCGTGGCAGCAGCCGTCTGAGCTTGGACGGCTTCGTCAAGTTGTTCACGAAGATGCTGAACGCGCTCATCTGCAGCATCCTTGTGCTTCGAGGCCCTCTCCACTGCTTCCTGACGCAGCTTGAAGGACTCGCTGAGGGACTTCTGGGAGGGCCCGTTGGCGGCGTTGACGGTGACGGTCTCCTTGATGCGGCTGGCAACCGTCGGGAGAGCAAACTCACCTCCCCGTTCCTGGAGCAACTTGACGAAGTCATCAATGGTATACTTCTGTTGTGTAGTATCAGGAGCAGCAGCAGGGTCATGGCCAAGAACCTGGCCACAAACGCAAAGCGGATCCTTCTTGAGGCGATCCGTCCACTTCCAGCGAGCACACGCTTCGCAGACGACGTACGCCCTGCTCTGCTGCTGCTGCTTGCCCTTCTTCTCCCAGCGCCATGTGCTGGCATTCCAGCGCCACTGCCCTGCCATCGCGCAAGGACGGCGAGTGGAGGCCAACTGCAAAGGGCCGTGCTGGAGATGGGGCGCGCGCCCAACCTGGCCCTCTGTGGCCGCCCTTGAGCGAGGTTGGGAAGTTCAGGAGCAGGCCCCTTGAGCCAAAATGGCTACGGCTCCTCCTCCTCCTCCTCCTCCTCCTCCTGCTCCCTACTCCTCCTTCTTCTCCTCCTCCTCCTCCTCCTCCTCCTCCTCCTCCTCCTCCTCCTCCTCCCCCCTCTCCTCGTCCTCCTCCTGCTCCTACTCCTCCACAGCCGCTGCAAGGAGTTAAACAAAAACTGTAAGTAGTGATTTGAAATGCTGTCCCGGCAGAGGACCCCATGGGGACCAGCTTTAGAGCAAGACAAAAAAGGGCTGCTGGTGCCAGGTGAGAAGCCTCCGTCACGTTCAGGATGCTGAGAAGCAAGACGCCGAACAAGATTCCGAACGTGCCCTCCATGCCAACGACGAACAGGGGAGGGACCGTGTACTGGCTCATGACCTCGGCGGACCCATCGCTAAATACTCTCGTCTCAAATGGAGCAAATCAAAGTGGCGCTGCAGATCGAAGTGCTGCTCTTCTCCTCGAGTCGTACATCCTTCTCTCATCCTGTGCTCTCTCCTCCTCCTCAACATCCTGTCGTCGTGACCGCCTTCGTCGTCCTCCCCCTCCTCCTCCTCCTCCTCCGCCTCCTCCTCCTCATCATCATCATCATGATCAGTATCAATTCGATCAGCATCGGTAGCATCGTCATCAGCATAGTCATCATCAACATCAGTATCAGTATCAGTGTCATGACCATAATCAGCATCGCCGTCATCATGAGCATCCACCTCATCAACAGCATCAGCATCAGCATCATCAGCAGCATCAGCATCATCATCAGCATCATCAGCATCAACAACCTGATCAGCAGCATCACCATCATCAGCATCATCACCAGCAGCAGCGGCATCAGCAGAATCGTCGTCATCCTCATCCTCATCATCAACATCGTCATCAACATCATAATTGGCATCAACCACGGCATCATCATCAACATCAGCATCAAACGCATCATCGTCATCAGCAGCATGATCCACATCATCATCAGCTGCAGCATAAGCATCAACAACAACAGCATCATCAGTATCACCATCAGCATGAGCATTGGCATCAGCATCAATGCCATCATCCTCATCATCAGCATCATCATCGTCCTCATCAGTATCATCACCATCTGCATCAGCATCAGCATCAGCATGGGCATCAGCACCAACATCAAACTCATCAACATGATCAGCATCCTCACTATCATCACCATCATCCTCTTCCTCATGATCATCATCATCCCCATCAGCATCAGCATCATCATCATCATCATCGTCGTCATCATCATCATCATCACCATGAGCATCAACATCATCATCAACACCACAACATCATCACCATCATCATCGTAATCAGCATCGTCATCAGCATTATCTTCACCCCCATCATCATCATCATCATCATCATCATCATCATCATCATCATCATCATCATCATCAGTATCAGCATCATCATAATCAGCATCATCATCAGCAGCATCATCATCAATATCAGCATCATTTTCATCATCATCATCCTCATCATCATAACCATCAACAACATCATTATCATCTCCCTTCTCTACCTCTAGACAAATCTAGAGGCAACCTTCAGAAATATCCAACAACCTCCCAGACCAAACTCCGGAAAACCCTCGGAAGCGTGTGCAAAACCTCTAGAAACCGTGAGAGCCCCATAGAAGAACGTCGGCCCTCCGGAAGAGCGCCCTCTTGCCAAGGGTGCCCTCAGCTGCGCTGCAGGGGGGGGGGGGCGAAGGGGGAGCCCCCAAAACCTCCAGACCACTTCAGGCGCCCTGGGCTCCCGTGGCACAGCGCCAACGAGGCATCCTCGTGCATCACCGAGAACGGGAGCAGGGAAAGGCGTTGCCACCACCACGAGCACGAGGCGCCAGGGCGGGCCCTCCAGGCGGTGTGGTCCCCCCCCCCCTCGGGGAGGCATCGTGGACGCCCTCGCCGGAGGTGGCCCCGCCTGGTGGGTGGTGATGTCGCCTCGCCTCCCTCGGACGAGGGCCTCCCTCCCCCGCGGAAGCTGTGCGCTGCGAGGCCCGCGGCCTTCTCCTCGTAGACCAGCATGAACGCCTGTCGGCCACACGCGGGAGTGGCCCCAGGCAAGAGAGGCCTCCGGTGCGCGGCCTGCGGGGTGGCGCGGGGGAAGCCAAACCCGAGGGCGCAAGCTGCTGCTGTCGCCTCGCATGCAGCGATCGGGGGACCCCCCATGGGCCCGCACCACAGGTCCCTCCGGCGAAAGATCACTCTGACGTGCGTAGCCGGGCCTGGAAGGCCTGCGCGCCCACGCAGAGGGCGATGCCGGTGAGCTTCCTCGTGAAGCCTGGGCTCGCGGCGGGCGCTGCGACACCTCCTCCTCCTCCTCCTCCTCCTCCTCCTCCTCCTCCTCCTCCTCCTCCTCCTCCCCTGCCGTTGCCCCTGAATCTGGGAGGCCTGGGTTCGTAGCGGGCAGGGGGCGGCGGCGGCGGCCGCCAAGCCAGCGTGGGCGCGGCCCCTCGGCGGCTCTCGAAGTGTCCGGGGAGCGCCGAAGCCTTCGGCGCTCTCGGAGGCTGCCCGTTGCTCTGCGGGGGGCCTCTGGGGACCGCCGGGGAAGAAGCTCCCTGCGGCCGTCGGGGCTCCTTCGGAGTTTTTCGGGGGCTCTCGGGGGAAACCAGGAAGGGTATAGCCATACCGCTGCTCCACGGACCTCGCCGGGGGTGCGTCCTGGCTCGAAGTTCGAGGCGAATGCAGCCGTGACGACGAGGGCCTCCCAGGAGGCCCAAAAACAGCGAAAACAGGGGGAGGGTAGTAGCATCGGTACATTGTCCTCAGGAATTGTCCTCCTCTGACTCGTAGGGGTCTTCCGAAGCCATATTGGCTTCAATAGTTTTCCAAAGCGTCTTCGGGGAACACTTGGGACTTGGGGGAGAATGAGGGGGAGGATCAGGAGAGGGAGGATGAGGAGGTGGTGGTGGAGGAGGCGCCGCGCATAGGCGGCGGCGCAGAGCCAGCGCCTAGCGAGTGACCAAGGCCAGAGGAGCGCCGACGAGGCGGATAAGATGAATCCAGGACGAGGATACATCTCCTGGAGATTCCAAACAGGGGCAGGAGACAGGCGGCGCTCGCAGCTGCACCTGAGCACACACTGGACATGCTTCGCACCTGCGCTCGGGAGCAGCTGCTGCTCGACGTCGGCGGAGGTTCCGAAAGACGAACGCCAAGAGAGACAGGGCTTCCAGCCTGCCTCCTCCGCAACGCGACGCAACGCAGCGTCCGACCGAGCAGCTCGGGGAGCGGCTCGCCCCACGAGTGAGGCGGACACCCCAGTGCTGCTGCACGTGCAAATAATATGCACACCCCTCCCGCGCGTTCAAACATCGGAACATTTTCTTTGGGTGGAGGGCAAAGGGTGGGTGAAATCTGAAATGCCGTTTCGATGGATTTTCGAGGCTTGAATCTGCAAGCGGTGAATCACACGGCGCATTGATCTTCGAGGCGCAAAAGCCCGTATGGATTTCTCCCTGAACCCTCCGCCCTAAGATCAAGTCGGGAACATCGTGTGTGGCTGCTGGTCGCACACTGCCGGAACTCCTCCCCGAGACCGTTCCATGGCCCCTGCCTCGTCGTAGTGACCCCATGGCACCCTCCGAGGCCCCAGATCTCGTGGCTGGAATCGGCGGGCTCCCCCCAACGCGCCGACCACGGCATCCCCGGCACGGCAGAGACCGGAAGTGTCGGAACGTCTGCGCAGCCCTCCGGAGGTCTCAGACGTCCCCGGAGGCCTCCCTGTGTGCATCTGGAGGCGGCTGCATCCTGCAGAAGATCCGACCCTGGGAGCGGCCGCGCTTTGCCGTGTGCTTCCACCCCAGAGCTCGAGTGATCCACTCAACCCACCAGCAGGACTCAGGACTCAGGACTCAGGTTCGAGAAGCGGTCCCACATGCAGTACTCGCGTGCGAACAACAGGCCAAAGATGGCCTCTCGGCGGGAATGGTAGACCGTCGAACCGTCAGAGAGACGGCTCGCGATCGAATGGACAATATCTCGACCCATTAATCAGGGCTGTGGACGCTCTGACAAACCAGACGGACCTGTTTGTCAAATACACACACACACCCCTCAGGAGGAATTGGAGGACGAGCGTTCCCTCATAACGCCGACTCCAGCATCCAGAAGGTGACTGAGGTCGGGCGGCATTCTCTACACACAGCCATGCGCACTTGCATGGGGCACTGGAAGCCTGGCCGGCTTCTTGGAGGCTGCAGGCAAAACCCTGGGCCCCGCAATGAAGGGAGGAAGTTTCCTAAACGTGGCGGCGGGCACATTCGTGATCGCAGATCAGGGTTCTGGATTTTTTCTGGCCTTTTCGGGACCACCAAGGAAAGACGAAGCCAGGAAGAGGACAAAATTTCGGAACGCTCTGGAACGGAGTTATCCTCGTCCGAGCCCCGCCTGACCTGGGCCGCTCTCGTGACCACAGCTGAAGGCAGCTCTGCAGAAACTGGCCAGGCTGGCGTCTGAGAGGGTTCGTCCTGGCATGAGCTTTGAGCAAACATCTGGCGGCGCGCATAATGAGTGAAGATCGGCCTTATCAGAAGGCCGTGAGAGGCTTCTCAGAAGGCTTCCTAGACGTCGGGAGGGCCTCTCCGTCAGAAGGCCGCCACACTCGCCGCACCCCCTGGTGCGCGCCGCCGACTGTGAGACTGTGCTGCCATGAACCACTTCTGATCGAATCAGACATGCCTCCAGCACCGGACGGAGGTCGAGAACGCGATCAACTCCACAAGTCGCCAAACCGATCTGATCCAAACACTTGATCGCGAGCGTGCGGACGGCGATCGACACTGCCCGACAACGCGACCAGCAGGTGATGACTCGTAGCATGTCCATTGTCACACTGGAAGGCAAATCTGGATGTTCGTGATTGCTTTAACTAGGGCGAGCGGCCTGTAGACTCGGAGGTCGTCAAGGCAGGGTTGATGAAGGCACTCAAGGATACGAGCGTGATGCCCAGGAAGACCTGGCGATGCTGCCCTGCACCGAGAATCTGCAAGCACCAACCCTAGATTCAAACTTCAACCACACCAACGTCCAATCTTCCACTCCTCCAGTTCCCATGCTGCCCCCCAACCTCCTCCGCGACCACCCCAAACAACACCCTTCTTCTCCTCCTCTCCTCTCCCCATCCCTCCACATCATCCCCCAGAATGAAACAAATCCTCATCCTGCCAGGCCTCCTCCCACTCCTCCTTCTACTCCTTCTACTCCTCCTCGACATCCTCCTTCTCATCTTCGGTGCCCCCAGTTCCCGAGCGGCGAGGACCAAGTCTCGGGAACAAAAACTAAGCTGCACGGGCCAGCATTCGAGCCCCCCGCTCAAACGGGCCTCGTGCGGGACGGGGGACATGGCAGACACCGAAGACCCCCGACTGGGGTTCGCGCCCAGCCCTGAGACGGCCAACGGCCAACCAAGTAAATCGAGCCGCCGTCCGGTCACGCCTGGCGAGAGGGAGGCACTCCTATGCCAATCTGATTCCGCCCGCAGGCGCCACGCGCTGCGCAGAAGACGATCGCACCACTTCTCCCAGAGACCGCACCAGGCCCCACTAACTCCTGACCCGCATCGGACCTCCCCCGAGTCACCCACAGCCGACGGGAGTGGCCAGCGATCGGCGCGATCCTGGCTATTCCTGTGCAGGTGGTTAGCCACGACTCGAAACCTCAAAGCCTTCCACACCTCACGGACACCACAGCCCCATGCCCCTTCTGTTCCTCCACCTCCCTCCTCCTCCTCCTCCTCCTCCTCCTCCTCCTCCTCCTCCTCCTCCTCCTCCTCCTCCTCCTCCTCCTCTACCTCGTCCTCCTCATCTTCCGAATGCCACTCCTCCTGTCAATGTTCCTTCTCGAGCCTCATCCTAGTCCTCCTCCTCCTCCACCTCCTCCTCTTCCTCCTCCTCCTCCTCAGGCAAGCTGCGGGGCGAGCGCAACTGGGGCGTAAGCCTCCTCCTCCTCCTCCTCCTCCTCCTCCCTCCTCCTCCTCCTCCTCGTCGTCATCATCATCATCATCATCATCATCATCATCATCATCATCATCATCATCATCATCATCATCATCATCATCATCATCATCATCATCATCATCATCATCATCATCATCAGCATCATCATCATCATCATCATCATCAACAGCAGCATCAGCATGAGCATCACCATCATCATCATCAGCATCATCGTCAGCAGCATCATCAGCATCAGCAGCATCATCATCATCATCATCATCATCATCAGTATCATCAGCAGCAGCATCATCATTATCATCATAAACATCATCATCATCATCATCATCATCATCATCATCATCATCATCATCATCATCATCATCATCATCATCATCATCATTAGCATCATCATCACCGTCATCATCGCCATCGTCGTCATCATCATCATCAGCATCATCACCATCATCATCCTCGGCATCATCACCATCACCATCGCAATCACGATCATAATTATCATCACCATCACCATCACCATCACCATCCGAATCAGCAGCCTCAGCATCAGCATCATCAGCAGCATCAGCATCATCATCATCAGCAGCAACATCATCATAATCAGCAACAACAACAGCATCGTCATACTTATCAGCATCATCATCAGCAACATCATCCGCATCATCATCTTCATGATCAGAATCATCATCCTTATCATCATCATCACCACCATCATCATCATCATCATCATCATCATCATCAGCATCGTCAGCATCATCACCACCGACATCGTCATCATCATCATCATCATCATCAACATCATCAGCATCATCATCAACATCAGTATCGCGGTCGCCCTCACCGTCACAACCATCATCATCATCAGCATCATCATCATCATCATCATCATCATCATCACTAGCATCATCATCATCATCACCACCGCCATCACCATCATCATCATCAGCATCATCATCCTCATCAACATCATTTTAGTCATAATCCCCCCGCAGGAACAGAAGACTGCGCGAGCATAGCAGGCGTGTCCTGGCCACTGCCCCGGTTAGCTGAATGGGTCTAGAACCGCAAAGGACACAATGACACAACTCCTCGGCAGATGGGCAATGCGTGTTAGCTGATATTGTGCAGCAAGGCCTGCAGAAACTGTTCGGAACCTGGCTGCAGGGGGGGGGGGGGAGAAAGTGTGCAAAGGAGGCCTCACACGTGCTGGAGGGCAACCCGATTTAACCGAGCCGAGAGGGGCAATACGACACCAAACAGCAGAACAAATCACACATCGTGCTTGGGCACCCAGCCCCCAAGAACAGCGTGTTACTGTGAGCAGCGCGCGCAGGAGGCACCGAACCCTCCTGACTTGCTGACTGTAGGATGGCCAGTAGCAGGCCTAACCGTCCATCATACCTGCGTGATGGCCCTCTCTCGGCGGCGAGCGAGGGCAGAAAATGAGAAAGAGAAGGCCTGCTCAGAAGGCGGCGGGGCTTCCGAGAAGCCCTCGCGCCTTCTCACGTGCCCGCCGGGCTGGCCGCGGACTCTCGCCCTCGGCATCCTCCTCCTGCTGCGCCGCCTCTGTCTCCTCGTGCTCCACCTACGTACCCGACGCATCCTCACCCCTCGCACCATGCTCCACCGTCCCGAGGCAGACTGCGCGCCCCGACGCCTCCCCGGCGCTCTCCCAGTATGCCCAAGGCCTGCAAGACGGCCCAAGGAGGCCACCAAGGTGCCCAAGGTTTGCTAGGCATTTTGGGAAGCCGCCAAGGCTTCCAAAATTACACCAACATCGCCTCTGGGGGGCACCAAAGCAGCCCCCAAGAAGACCCCAAGAGGCGCCACAGAGGCCCCAAGAGGCGCACAAGACACCCTAGCCAAGGACAAAAAGACCCTACAGTATGGGCGCGACCACGAGAAACCTTCAAGAAACCCAACCCTGGAACCCCGGGACATCCATTGATGTTTGGCGTGGGGACTTCACATAGCAAAATCATCGAAACCCAAGAAACCCAGGGCACACTGGAGACAAGCAGGATGTTTCTTGGCATGGGTTCCGACTGCACGGGAAAATTATATCCAGCCACTGACAATTAAAGTCGTGAGGTTTTTGAATGCTACCTTGACCAGGCCTCTCGGCTCAGCATGGTTCCAAGTGGGTCGAGGACGAGAAAGGCAGCATGCCGCAAGAGCCAAATCAGGGTCCCGAGAAGCCCCCCAGACGGCCCAGGACGTCCCCAAGAGGGCCCCACCGACGGCCCAAGAAGGGTCCCACAGGGCCCCAGGTGAACACAGTTCCAAGAAACTCCCCGGACGGCCGAGAAGGGGGGCCCCAAACGACCCAAGACGGCACCAAAACGGCCCAAGAGGATCCCAAAAACACCAAGACAAGCCAAAAGAGTCCCTCGGGGGGCCCAAGACAACCTGACAGGAGCCCAAGACAGCCCGCAGACGGCCCATGGAGGCCCAATGAGAGCCCCTGCAAACATAGAGATGAGAGGTGTCACGACCTTCTGGACGGTGCTCGAAGTGCCATCACGAGATGAGAGGTGTCACGGCCTTCTGGACGGTGCTCGAAATGGCATCATACAGATTACTGCGCTGGCACCATTGCGGAACTTGCCCCGGGCAGCTGGATTGTCATCGCTAGTAGGAACGTGGTTGCACAGCTACTGTCTGTCAGGCTTCCTGATGTGCGAGCGTCTCTGGCCGCCTGTGTGCGATGTTTTCACCGCCAGAATCACGGCGCATGCGATTACAGACTACACTGCGTTCTGCCACCTCTTGTTAACGTTGGGCGAACTTGAGCGTCTGCTCTACCACCTCCTCCTCCTCATCCTCCTCCCCCTCCTCCTCCACCCCTCCCCCTTCTCATCCTCCTCACCCTGCTGTGATGCGACCTGAACCTGTGGGGTACATAATTCCTGGCAACTGCATTACGCGCAGGCCCGCCCCAGATAATCAGGAGAAGGAGGAGAGGCAGAGCAGGGCAAGGAGAGAGAGAGAGAGAGAGAGATAGACCAGCGCCACTCCAGCAATGTGGAAGCGCTGCTGCCGCCGCCCCAAGAACACAACGCTCAGGATGCATGTGAAGATCACGATCGCGCCTCTCGTCATCTGCACGATGGAAGCTGCAATGAGAACGTACGCCATATTTACCAACGTGGTTGCCGTCCAATCCAATAGGCATGCGACCATGAACACGTAGTTGGGTGCGCTCTTCTCCTTGGTAAGCTCGGCCTTGTTCGTGGCGTAGTGGGCGATCAGACACAGAAACTCACCGATCATCATCAGTAAGCTCTGGAAAAACGGGTGGTCAAAACCGGCAACTTTTCCGTCGGGACCGGTTGGCACCTGCTGCATTACCATGAACTTCATCAACAGCGTATTCAAAGAGCCGCTGATGAGCATCACCAACATGAAGGTAGCAAGCATGCCTCGAACCGGAAAGGAAGAGAAGGAGAACCCCTACATCTACTACCACCCGGTCATCATCCTCATCCTTCTCCTCCTCCAAACCCTCCTCTTCCTCCTTCTCCCCCTCCTCATCATCATCCTGATATTTCGTTGCTGCCGTTAGGCCTCCTCCGCCTTCCCCTTCTCGGTCTCGTTCTCTTCCTCTTCCTCCTCCTCCCCCCTCATCATCATCATCATCACCATCATCAGCATAATCATCATCAGCATCATCCTCATCATCATCCTCAGCGACATCATTATCATCATCATCATCATCATCAGCATCATCATCATCATCATCATCATCATCATCATCATCATCATCATCATCATCATCACCATCGTCACCGTAATCCTCGTCGTCACCATCATTATCACCACCACCATCATAATCATCCTCTTCATCATCACCGAGAGAGCGTGATCCACCGCCGCTTTACTGTGGAAAATTGCCAACCTTTTCCTCCGGAACCCGGGGGTCGCCCCCCCCCCCCCCTCCGAAAATCCCCCCCCCTGCTGGAACCCCTCCCCCCCCCCCCCCCCCCCCCCCTTCCCCCGGCAAAACCCCCCCCTCCCCTAACCCCTCCCCCCCCCCCCCTCCCCCTCGAAAACCGGGGGGGGTCACTACCGGTTCGAACCCCTCCCCCCCCCCCCCCTCCGGATCCAGAAAACCCGGCCACTACCGTCACCGCCGCATCACATCCCCCACTGGTGTTCCCAGCACCACTGTCCTCACCACCGCTGTCCCCACTGGTTCCACCACCGCCCCTACTGTCCCCACCAGTGGCCCCACCACTGTCGCACTGTCCCCGCTGTCCCCAGAACTGTTCCCACCACGGTTCCACTCTCCCCACTGTCTCCACGGCCCCAACCACTGCCCGACTATCCCCACTGTCCCCACTGTCCCACTGACTCCTCCGCTGTCCCACTGAGCTGTCCCACTGTTCCCACCACTGTCCCCACTGTCCCCACCACTGTCCCCACTGTACCTCTGTCCCATTGTCCCACCGCCGTCCTCGCCACCGCCTTCACCACTGTCCCCACCACCATTGTACCCTCCACTGTCCCACTGTTTCCACCTCATTCCCATTGTCCCCACACCACTGTCCCCACCACCACCGTCACCACCACTGTCCACTGTCCCCCCCTGTTCCCACCATTGTCCCCACCACTGTCCCCACCACTACCGTCCCCACCACTGTCCCACTGTCCCACTGTCCCCACCACTGTCCCGCTATCCCCTCACCACTGTCCCCACCAACACCGTCCCCACCACTGTCCGCACCCCCACTCGGTTTTCGAGGGGGGGGGGTTCGAACCGGTAGTGACGCCCCCCGGTTTTCCGGATCCGGAGGGGGGGGGGGGGGGGGGGGGGGGGGGGAGGGGTTCGAACCGGTCCCCCCCTTTTCATGATGAGCAGGGGGGGGGGGGGGGGGGGGGGGGTTTCGAACCGGTAGTGACCCCCCCCGGTTTTCCGGAGGGGGGGGGGGGGGGAGGGGTTCGAACCGGTAGTGACCCCCCCCGGTTTTCCGCCAGCAGCGATAGAACACGCTCTTTCTCATCACCGAAGTGTTCTTATTACACTGTTCGTCTTGTGATCGGTATTAGCAGAGATATTCGTATTGATCGCCCTATGGTCATGATATGCTCGTGTTACTAATATTGTGACTCGCATGTGTTCTCAATAGTGCAATTTTGTGGATGGGCATTGTTAATGTTATTATTGTTTTGGTGTTCGTAGTATTCTTGATGTTAGTAATGTTGGCATCCGTATTCTCATTATGCTTCGTTTTCTTCTTATGCGTCGTAGTATTATCATTAGTAAGACTATGAATACTAGAAGCCGTACTACTGTTATTACTAAAAACGATTATTGCTGTCATTGTGCCTCTCATGATTAACACTATTATGATTATTATTCGTCTTCTTCGCACGCTTCTCGTCATCGTTCTGCTATTCCTCCTCCCCTCGTCCTCCACTCCTCCTCACCGCCCTCCTCCTGCCGCTCCCCTCCCCCCCCCTCCTCGGAGGCCCTCAGAAGCTGGCGTCGCCCCTTCAGCCCTGAGCACCCGCGCACGCGCCGCCGCTGCACCGGGGCGGCACGAACGTTTTGTCGCACGGACGCCGATCGGCTGGCCAGTGTCGGCGGCGAGCGAAGGGGGGAACTCAGACGGGGCGGGCCTTCTCAGAATGCTCCGAAGTTCCCCAGGCTTCTGACAGTTTTCTAAGCCTTCCCCGAAGACGCAGAAAAATGGTCAGAAGGCGCAAGTGCTGCTGAACAGCACCGCCGCCTTCTGAGAAGGCCTTGTCCTTCTCAGTTCCCCCCCTCGCTCGCCGCCGACAGTGGGCGCCCAAGCTGGCGTTACAAAGGTGGGGCCCTCAGGATTAGGGGAGCCCGGGGAAAGCTTACATTGCTTGAGGCTCCTCGTCCTGAGGGCCCCGTTCCTCTCCAGGACCTCGTCGATGCTCCTCGGAGCACGTGCTGGCGCCAGCGTGCACTCGTCCTCCGAAGCCGACACGGGCGCTGGCAATGAGGACCGGCGCAGGCTGCGTGCTGTCGGCGGAGCTGGAAGGGGGCAACCGCACACTGGGCAAACACGCGCCCTGCGGATCGCCGACCACTCTTCGAGCCACCGGCCGAGGGCCCGGGGCGGCGAGGCGTCAGCCAGGTGCCAGGCTCGAGTCTCGGCGACGCCAGAGGGCAGGGGTCGCGGAGGCCCGCAAGCCTCGCTTGGCCT